GTTTCTTTCCCCCACATCAGAGTCATAACCAAATTCTCGTACGTAGGAGACGTCGGTAGGGAATTCAGCAACATCAGCGCCTTGTCTTCATCTTCGAACTTCATATCAACTCGCTTCAGATCGCTGATGACCTGATTGAACACGTTGATGTGTTGGGTCAAATCCGAGCCCTCTGACATCTTAAGACCATATAGTTTCTGCTTAAGATAGAGCTTGTTCGTCAACGACTTGGACATATACCGACTTTCCAGTTTCAACCAAACTTCCGTCGGTGATTCCTCATCCATGACGTGATACATCACTTCATCAGCCAGACAAAGCCTAATAGTCGCCACAGCATTCGCTTCCAATTCTTTCCAATCCATGTCGTCCATTCCTGTCGGTTGTTTTATGTATAATGCCTTCACCATGCCCTGCTGCACTAATAGGTCTTTCACCCTCCTCTGCCATAATCCGAAATTCTCAGTTCCGTCGAACTTCATGATGTCGAATTTTGTAGAGGAAATCCCAGACATCGTAGTCTAGCTCTGATACCAATTGTTGTGATCGTGCAGCAATTATGGTGAATAGTAAGGAATCAAATAATTAAGAAAGCAGGAGAAAATAACACACATAGATTTACGTGGTTCGGCAATGTGCCTATATCCACGAGAGCGAGCGGTCGTTCTTTTTCATTATTCAAAGTAGGGTTACATCTTAAGTATTTATATAACCTTAATACGGACGTATTTACAAAAATACCCCTGCACCGTACCGCGGGGGCGTTGCCCCGCACCCCCAACTAATCAACGTCCCCTTTATACAAATCCCACAAGGCAAATGCCGTCGCGGGCTCCGCCCGCTTCGGCATTTGCCTCCTTGTCATTATGCACACAACAACATATGAGCCACACATACTCTAACAGAATTCGCCTAGAGGTTTGAAAAAATTCTAATTGATTTCATTTGTAGGGGTGGGTTCTTGATTGGTTTTTGAGAAATTTGTTTCCATACTAGAGTGGCTATTTTAAATTTTTTATTAGTTGTTTGGGATATTATTAAGCCAAATTTGTAGTTTTGATCCAAAAATCACTAATTTGGTGTAGCCAACAAGCGACATTCAGTGGGTTTGGCTTCTATGATGTGATGATTGAGTCTCATGTTCACCAAATTGTTCGATCTCTATCCGATGAAGGTCTATTAATGGTTTACTTGCTTAAAGACAAAGGATTCAACCTCTTTTTCTTCCTTGTTTGTTTTTTGGGTCACCATTATTGTAGAAAGTTTATTAAAGAGATCTCAGTTTGGAAGACACCCAAACTGATATCCTTGCTTTTCTTTGTACAGCTACCCTTTGGTCATCAACTGTTGTCTGTACAACTTGTGCAATTTTTCTATTTTTGCCCAGGTAGGTGGAAGTTGGATTTATTTTTGAAATTGTTGGAGTTTAATTCTCCGTCTAAATATGATATGTTATGGAGTTTGGATTTAACATTCTTTTGGTCTTAGCGAATTTGGCATGTTAATGTGATATTTGATTTAGACTCAAGAATGAGAAATTTTCAGTCTGAATTCTAAGGAAAAAATAAAATTAATTAAAAAAGTATTTCATTTGTTATTAACATGCTTACTTAGTTGCATAGGATGTTAGGTGTGGTTTGAAGATTGTAAATGCAGAAGAGGAATTTGAGAGCAATATACAAGGAAAAGGAAATATACAACTAATAATCTTTCAAAATATAAAGTGGAATTCGCCTGTGAGCAAAATTATCCAAACTTAAGTCCATTGTACGTCGTGAAATGCCTTTCCCCAGCCTAGTTGGGCTTGCCCTATATTTTCCTATGGCATGAAGTAGTGGTGCTTCGCAGTTTGGACTTTCGACCCAAACAGGCCCTAATGTGAAAAGTTTACATATATCATGGGCTAGACTTCTTTAAGGTTGAAGATTATAAGTACTTTTCAGTTTTTTATGTAGCTGATAGATTAACATCTGTAACGCTCATAATTGTTCGATTTGGGTGAGTTCGCATTTCTTTAATATTGTAACGTCTGAGACTCTTATTGTACAATATTGTTCGCTTTGAATTACACCTGCAAGGTTTTAAAACTGTAACGTCTCAGACCCGCTTTGTACAATATTATCTGTTTTGGGTTAGGTCCGCATAACTTTAAAACGCTTTATAAAATGAAAGTTTAAAATTTACACTTATGTACCACTCCATAACCACATCGGTAGTTGACGTGCAATTGAGTTATAACAGTATCAGATTAGGAGGTTTTGCTTTGGAATTTAACTGTTTAAACCATTGGGGCAGTTTGTAGTTTACAGCTTGCCAATCACTTTGATTGTTATAATTTGAGAAGAAAAAGTGAAAAATGCTTTTATAAGTCACAGAGTCACGTTGCTGCTTCACTTCATTTAATTGGGTAGCTTGCATCCCTGCGGCAATCAGAACAATATTGCTTACCAATCAAAAATGGTAATTGGGTGTAGTGAGATTTAAATTCTAGAGCTGAATTAACTGCAATACAAAGTTCAGGGTTTCTTTTGGGGTTAGGGGTGGAAGAAGTGAGAATTTTAGAGAGGGAAAGATAGAAGAGAAAATTTGTTTGATAATTCGGAGGAAATTCTCACAGTTTATTATCAGACTCAACAATCAGCGTAGTTACTGGAAAAAACCTCCAAAAATCGTACAATACCCTACTAGCCACACGCGCTAGGTGTGGTTATATGAATTAGGAATTATATGAATCCAAATTCCCTTTTGGGTATATGGATTCATGACCATAATTTTTGTTTTTTTTCTAAGCGAATTTAATATTGAGATTTTTTACTAGAATGCAATTGGTTTTTAATTTCATTTTCAGCTCTAGGCCTTTTATTAGTTAGTCCTAGTAAAGCTCCTAGGAGGTGTATTTTTGAAACGAGGTATTTGATAACGTGACATAAAGGCTCGTTATTCTTATTTATTTTATATTCTATTTCAATTCCATCTATTTGTTTTAATTATTATTTAATATAATATTGAAATTTCATTTTACTGAATAAACTTAAACTAAAACTGAATTAAATGATAAATGAATCGAAATTTACTAAAGTATTGTATTCACTCAATATTTTTTACAGTAATGCTAGATTGACCAAATTTTGGAACTAAATTTGGAGCCCAAATGACATGGCAGTTGACTTGAGCTTACTATTTGAGCTTTAATCAGTGTAGCATTGCTCTATTTCTTAATGTTACATCAACTATTTTGTAGTATCGATAAATGATTCACTAGAATTTGTATAAGATAATTTATTGTTGGTGGAGAATCGACAATATTATACTGAAGAGAATCCCAATCCTCGCAAATTAGGTATTGTTAGACTAATAATAATAAGCAATAATTTATCAGCATTTCCGGAAGATTTTATTATTATTATTCTTATTATGGCTTATGTTTGTTTGTTTTTTTGTTTGTTATTGATGTTTGCATAGGCCATCCTTAAGGTTCCAGCTGTTGATGGTCCTTCAAGAGAAAATTAAAATCTAAAGTAAAAGTAAGTTACACCGGTTGACATTATGATGACCAAATCGACAACTCCATTGATAATCGTGGAGAAAAGTAAGTTTTTGAATAATTAAAGTAACTTTAGTGCCTCTTTACTTTTTCTTAATTTTCTAATTTAAAAAAAAAAATACCAACCAACCGGTCCTGTGTATTGTATTAGGCTATTAGCAGTAATTACATGGATAAAATACACTTTTAATCCCAAAATATGCGTGTAGTGATTATTTAGCCCCCAATTTTCTAGTTGTGTCTATTTGAATCTTAAGGTTCCTAATTTGAATCTATATTGTCTAATACCAAACGTCCGTAAAAAAAATCGTTAATGCTTCTGGTAGCGCACCAATCATATGAGATCAAATAAACACAAATTAAGAATTAAATAGACATAAAGGAAGAACAACGAGATTAGCGTGTGACCAGAATAGTACGCTTTTTAGACAGACGTTTGAGATTAGACCACGTAAATGTAAATTAGGAACTTTAAAAATTAAATAGATACAATTGAAAAATTAAGGACCAAATAGATACTAAAAACATACTTTGAGAATTAAAAATATATTTTACCCTAATTAAATGCCACCCGAGCCCATTACCAACTATATCTGTTAACACCAACTTTAGATTGTAAAATGTTTGTATTATGAAATGAAAGGATCCGAGGAAATGAACTTTATTATTATTATTATTATTTTTTTTTTTTGATTTTTTCAAATCATACATAATCAAACCCAAATTGATTAAAGTTCTTATACTATGCCGTAATAGGGATAAATTGTAATCCAAACATTTTGATTTCAAATTTTAGTAATTCTTTGAAACTAGGCCATGAGGTATTTTTATTCCTCATGAATACCCTAGTCTCGGCGTAGATGATTTATTTTTGATCGGATCAGGGAAGAAATTAGTTGATGTGCAGTTCAGCTGGCCTAAACACCCCAACCGTTTGAAACAAAAAAAAAATTCATAATTAGTTCCTGAACTTTGACTTCAATTTTAATTTGGTTCTTGAACTTTCAATTATTTCAATTTAATCCATCAATTATTAATTTTATCTCAATTAAGTGTTTTCGTCAATTTTTGCTGTTAGATCAAATGAAAATATACGATCTAACGGTGGAAATTGATCAAAACGAACTAGTCTCCATTTGATTTAACGATAAAAATAGAGGAAATAATTTAATTGCAATAAAATTCATAGTTGAGGGCCTAAATTAAAATAATTGAAAATTTATGGACCAAATTAAAATCAAATACAAAGTTCATGAACCAATTATGATTTTTACCCTAACAATTACTATCAAAATTAAATTAAAATTATCGTAGAATGAAATGTTCATAGTTTTAGAGTTAGAATTAGTTCATATAAGTTTGTATCTTCCACTAAGGATGATATAGATAAGCACATACAAAAGATGAGTTGAATTGCAAATACATACTGTTCATATAATCAAAGCATTAAACATAACTCATATATTTCCATTTTTTTTTCATCCTCTCAAATCCATAAAGCAACAAACCTTCACAACTCCCAAGTCCAGAGACTTCCCAATACTACTTACCATGGAGAAACATGAGTTTTCAAAGTGTTGTTTAGTCCTCAACAATGGCTTCTTTCTTTCCTTTGCCTGTCCTCCTCTGGCTACCACGGGCCCCATCTCGCCGGAAATTTCCATCGTTGAAGATCAGTGGCAAGTCATTGGCGTCATCACTGTCTTCCACAGTTGCTATACGGATGCAAGAACATCGTTCCAAAGACGCGAAAAAGGCGCTTGCGACGCCATTGATGACCCACATGGCCATACCATCAAGCTTTCCACATCCGGGTGAGACATGGGTCGACGATGACCGGACTCCGGGCTCGACAGAATTGACTCCAAGATTGAAGAAGCTGGTGCAATTTGTTGAGGTAGTAGCTGCCATGGATTGCAGATCCAAGGAGTAGCCAAAGAAAGAAAAGAAAGTGGTTGAGAAGTTTTAAGCTGTCTTAGAGTTTTAAAAAGCCCTCAAGGAGTCCACTAGTGGAGAGAGAGAGAGAGAGAGAGTGGTTGAGAAGCTGCAGCTTAAAAAGTTTAATAAAATCTCAAGGATTGTGATGATTATATGGCATTAACATGCCCTTAATTAATCTAAATTTACAAGCATATTTATAAATTAGGGTTCAAATCTTCTCTATTACACATTTCCTCAATTTCTCTTAATAGTAGATCATTTACTATGAATTCATGTGAGACCCCGATTTATAAGTGAATTTGCTTACATATAAATGGTGGATGATCAACCGCTAAGTAAAAGTGTAATATAGAAGATTATGATCCTAAAAATTTGGGGAGAGAGAGTGGGGCAATTTTGTCTAGTAGACAATGGGGACTAATATAATGTGTGTTTATTGTATTCCTAAATAAGCAACATGCCATTATTCAAACATAATAATGAAGAGAAGACATGAAAAATAATGGAGAGCATGTGGAGGAGATAGGGTATAAAATTATAGGGAGAGCCGAACACAATGATGAGACCAAAGGTTAAAAGGTGCATTTCATCATGGGTTGCTCTCTGAAATACACATAAAAATACATGAGTGAGATTAACAGCATCTCTAACAATATTTTATATTTTAATTATTTAAAAATATACATTTTTTTTTTATTTTAGCAATTCATTTTTTTAATACAGACTCTAATTAATTTTTCATATTCTAACTACTTTTAAATATTCTTTCATATATTTTGTATTTTTGTTGTGACCGTTGGATGGAGAGAGATAATGGAGTGAAAGACAAAGAGTGAATAAGATAAATATGAATATTTAGAGCATCATTGCAATAAAAAATTATTTTAGAGTATCTGAACATAATCGGTTGAAATATGTTTTTTTTATCTTTGATTAACTATTTTAGAATTTTACATATTCTGTTAGAGATGCACCGAGTGAAAGAATAAAAATTCTTGCATTTATTATTTATATTCTTATAGTGGAGAATGTTTTGGTGTTAGAAACTAGACATAAGTCTTTAGGGATTGAAGACTTAAAATTGACATTTAATAATGGTAGGTTCTAGTGACAAACACCCAAAGCTCTTAAATTTGGGTAACACAACATATGCCTTATTGATTATGTGTATCTCAATATTGCGTAATAGTTACTTACCCGGAAGCATGATTGGGAAGAATCAACTATTTTCAATTTGCAAACTCAGTTTCTTAATATTAGTAAACACAACAGTTTTATGGATAAATTTCACTGACACCCTTGAATATAAGTATAATTTCATAGACACTCTTTGTATTTTTTGAAATATCATTAACACCCCCTGTTAATAATTGTCGGCTAGCATAAAAATGAAAAGTGTACGAAAAGTGGTTTTTTTTTTTATAATTTACCCTTAATAGATAATATTTTTTACATGAATAACCTTTACTAATATATGTACTTGTACTTCTAAAAATACATATACGCCCAACCACGCCTAAAGCCTACCACCTTATCTCTCATTCCTCTCTCTTTTAATTTCAGTATTTTATTATTTAATTTCATTAATTTAATACTAAATTAATATTTAATTTGTTCAATTTAAAATTTATTTTATCATATTAAAGTCAAATTGATATTTAATTTATCAGATTAACATTCAATTTCTTCTAGTTTCATGAATTAAAATTCCTTATCATTAGTTTCATCAATTCAATATTCAATTGATATTCAACTTCACCAAATAATATTTAATTTTATTAAATTGGCATCAAATTGACCTTTAATTCTCTTGAATTAATATTCAAAATTATCAGTTTAACATTCAATTTCATTAAATTAACATTCAAACTAATCAATTTGATATTCAATTTCAACAATATAAAATTAAATTTTATCAAATTAACATTCAAACATTGGGGTTTTCTCTTAATTGCATATTTTTTTTTATTTTAGTTAAATTAGTTTTTTCTTAAGTTTTATATCGAATTAGATTTTTTTTATGTTTTAGCTCTGAAAAGACATGAAGGAGGAAAGAGATAAAAATAAATATTTTTTAGTTTGTTTCATTGAAAGGTAAATTTTTCATTCATAGATAAATATTGAATGACATCACTACTTTTTGATGTGTTAGTAATGTCTCAGATTGAAGGGTTGTATTTGAAACGAATCTATAAATCTGAAAGACGTGCAATGATATTTCAGAAACTATAAGGGGTATTTATGAAATTATGCCTATATACACGGGGTGTCACTAAAATTTACCCCGGTTTTATTGAAAGCACGAAGTTACGAAATGATTTCTATTTCCATATTCTCTTTGTGGTCAATTTGCCAGCCCATTGGACCCAGAAATGGGCTTTACTGGGCCCTGGATCTTGCATCTCATCTGGGCCTGGAAACTGCCTCATTCGACATTCCAGCCCGTTTCTTACCCACAGTCGAGAACTTATCTTTACAAATAAATAAATAAATAAATAAAGAAAAATTTGGAAGTTGGTCCCCTAATATAGACTTATTTGGCAATAAGTCCAGCAAAAAAATTTATTTAGTTTTAAGTCAGTTTTTTGTTAAGTTTACTATTGTACCCCTACTCCATAGAATAGCAACAAACAACGTCTGATAGTTATAAAAAATTACATAGATTAAATCATTAAAGTATATATGAAAAACGTTGATTGAATTATATATGAAAACCGTTGATTGAGTTATATATAAAAATTATTTATTAAATATTTTAATAATTAACGGAAATTTTATATAGAATGTATATATTCTGATAGTTATATGTGAAAACTTAATGTACGAATAAATTATTGGTATATTAAATAAAATTCAGATCACAAGATTTCCTTAACAATTCAAATTCAATAGTAACATGATATAATAACATGATACAACCATATGGTGACACTATAGTATGATCTTATATTATCAATATCCTAACCAACATATAATAACATGATACAAAATCACCAAGCGTAATAGATATATAACAATTATCAATAATTATGTACAAAAAGCAACATGAACAATGCCACCCAATTAGCTGATGTAAACATAATAATATCAATTTAGTAACATTATTTTTTTAACTGAATCTCAGTAACATTATTTTTAGTAACATCGGTCAAACACAATTTTGAGTTCCCATGTTATAATTTTATGGAATAAACATTACATTATACATAATATTATAAGTCCATTAATTTCTTAACTGAATCTCAGTAACATCATTTTAGTAACATCAGTCAAACACAATTTTGAGTTCCCATGTTATAATTTTATGGAATGAACATTACATTATACATAATATTATAAGTCCATTATAATGTTACTAAGCTGATATTACTATATTTACATTAGCTAATTGGGTGGCACTGTTCATGTTACTTTTGCACATAATTCTTGATAATTGTTTTATATCCATTACGCTTGATAATTTTGTATTATGTTACTATATGCTGGTTAGAATATTGATAATATAACGTCATGCTACGGTATCACCCTATGCTTATATCATGTTACTATTGAATTTGAATTGTTAAAAAAATCTTGTGATATGAATTTCACTTAATATACTAATGATTTATTCGTACATTAAACTTACATATATAACTATCAGAATATATAAATTTCATATAAAATTCTCTTTAATTATTAGAATATTTAATAAATGGTTTTCATACATAACTCAATTAACAGTTTCCATATATAACTTAATCAACGGTTTCTATATATATTTCAATGATCTAACCTATGTGACTTTTTATAACTGAACAAACCTAACACCATTACGGGTAATTATGAGATTTAAAAAAAAATGGACTTAAGTACCTACATAGAAGTTTAATCACGAACTTAACTTCAAATAAGTTTCCTTCTCAGACTCAAGTCATTATAAGTATATTTACGAGGACTCACCTCTAATTTTTACTAAAAAAAAAACCGAGATTTATGATGAGGTAGTTCGGACCTAAAACAAGTTCCAAAATTTCAAATTCAAGAATTATAAGAGACGTCTTATACATGTCTGGATGAAATAGTTCAGACTTTAAAACAAATTCTGAAATTCTAAATTCAAGAATCGCAAAAAGATGTCTTATATATGTCATGATATAGTAAAACTTAAGTACTAAATATTTCAAAATTGTAAATTCAAGACTCGTAAAAGACGTCCTATGTGATGATGATCTGGCGATGAGTATCATCACACAATGAGTCGTGACTAGAATTTTCCAGTCTTCTTTCCGGTTAGTCTTGATTTTTGTTTGGTTGACCATAATTGTTGTTTTCGTTAAAGGGAATGCATACAAGAAGACTTAAAGAGTTGAGTGGGGAATCAACTTTGAGTTCACACTTGCATGAAAGTGGCCTCACTTGAATTTTCTAACAAACATTAAGTGGGCTTAAGGACCAACTCAATTGTTTTTATAGAGGTTAGGTTTAGGTAATGAGGGATTTATCTCTTATGAATACTCTAATTCAAGTGTGAATAATTTGTACTTGTTCGGATCAAGAAAAAAATTAGTCGAAATGTGCATAAATTGGTTTGAACACTTCTAACCAGTTGAACCAAGAAAAGAAAAGATTAGCAGGTCATATGGTGGGACTTAATTCCACTGGCAAATTATATATTGACCTTTTAACTATGAACCCGATATTACTTTATCCCTCAAATTATTAAATTTTTTGCATTGTTCCAAATACAATTGATCGTTGTCTTTTTCGAACAAATATCACTAACTTGTCAAGGAAAGTTAAAAAAAAATCATATTGTTTGGGGGAGAGAATGAGACAACTTTATATTAAATTTGTAACGGATGTTAGTAATTGGGGTAATGTAAAACTAATCACTTAGCTCAGGGTGCAAAATAGGGGTGCAACACGGGTGGGTTGGACAGGTTGAGAGGACAACCATAGTCCAATCTTAAGTATATAATCTTTTACCTTAACCCTAATCCTAACCTTATCTCAATCCGAATACTGTCCGAGTTGAATTCGGGCGGACTTGAGTTGAATTCGGGTTATTTAATTCAGGTTGATTTCGAGTTAAAAATCGGGTTGGACTTGTTATACTTAATTCAGATTGATTTTTTGAAGTGTAGATTTGATTTTTTTTGAAGTGTAGATTTGATGTTTTCAAGTGATTTGAGATGAAGGACGAAATGCAGATAAAGAGAAAGGGAGTGAGAGAAAGAGGCTGAGAGTTTAAGACAACTCAGATGAGTGACGATTAAGAGAGAGAAGCTGAGATAGGAAAGAGTGACAAGTGAGAGGAGAATCTGAGAGTGATAGAGACTTGAAGTGAAGTGAAAGTCTGAACTTAAAGAGTGAAGATAAATACTAACTCTAGTTAAATATATTTATATATTTATGTATATTTGGGTTCAACTCTATTTTAATATTCGGGTTGAACCCGACAACATGAGGTCTCAATCCGAGACTTGTTCAAATTTAATTCAAGTTGAGATTTTTTTTTTCAAACCCAGTTCAAGTATTAAAAATTCTATCTCAAGCCCTATTTTTTTGGGTTGGACTCGGGTTGAATTCGGATTGACTCGTCCAAATTGTACCCCTAGTGCAAAGTAAAAAACATGATTATTTAGGAGGTATCATGAAAAAAGAGTCATAGCTGAGGGAGTCAAAGTGTAATTTTTCCTAAATTCTACATCAGTGAAAAAGAAAGTCTCATTCCACACAAATTCTTTCAAAGTTGACCATATAAAGGTTGAAGAAATGAAATGTGTCAAGACTAATATTTTGAAGTGAGTATTGCCAAACACGGATAAATCTTCTTAATTTTAACGTATATAATCTTCTTGACTAACCAAATATATATATATATATATATATATATATATATATATATATATATATATATATATATATATATTCTGTCTCCCACTATAACCACTGTCGCCTACCACCACTATCCCCGTTCACCTGCACTATAATTGATATTTAAATTTTTTTATCTCTGTTGTATGTTTGTTATTTGATTTTATGTGTGAATACAAATAAGTTTATTGTTGATTATTTTTTTTAATTATTCTGTGCCTTTAGGTATGAGAAATAATTAGTATATGTATATATTTATAATATAAAATAAGACAACTTTCAATAAGATCATCCGACGATTTCAAATAGACGTATTCAACGGGTACCGATATCTTTCTTAAAATTATTTACATTGCATTGTACCTTTATACACGGATTACCTATAGTCTATTACATAAAACAGGATAGACTTCGATAAGTTTATCGATAGTCTCAAACAAATTCATTTAACTGCCACCAACATCCCTCTAAAAAATTATATTAATTTTAATTTTTTTAATTAAAATAAATTAAAGTAATTTTTTTTAAATTAATCGATTTATTTACGTTGTACCGTACCTTTAGACATGAACTTTCCTAATATATATATATATATATATGAGCATCCGCGCATTAATGAGGTTTTATTAGACATTATCCACCCAATCAGATTCTCCAAATTTCTTTCATTAATTCCTGTATTATCTAATAATGGCTGGAGTGATTATAAGATCTTGCCACGAGTCACGAACAGGTCAGCTTTGAATCATCTAAGAGGAGAAAAAATATCGCGTGTAACGGTCAAACCACGTTAGTATTGTCATGTGATATAATCGCTCAATAAAAAATAAATAAATAGACAAACTAGACCACACTATTTCAAGTAACCATCACTCCATATACAATAATAACCGTTATATATTCAAAATGTGAGATTCGTTTATTCATTTATTATTAGACGATTATATTACGTGACCATATTAAAGCGGCGTAACCGTTACGCCAAATATTTACTCATCTAAGAGGAACTTGTCATCTCCACCCATATAAATAAATCCAAAAGCCTCTTGTTTGTGTATCTCTTCTCTTCTGCCAGTGTAAACCACACATTGAAACAGAACTAGTACAATCTGGTGAATAAGTATGTCCAAACTTAGCACCCTCTTCATCTTAGCCCTCCTCCTCTTCTTCTTCACGCTGACGGCCGCCGCAGCCCGGCCCGAGCCTTCTCTGGTGAATCCCCAAGACAGGGTATGTCTTTTTGGTCACTTTGTTTTCGTTGATGATTTAAATTATGACCAGTTTTTGATTTTGTTTTGTCGGTTTTGCTTATGTTTTTTTGACAATGATTGTAGGAGGCTGAGGTAGAGAACACTAATGTTGATGAAGCAAGTTGTGAAGGAGTGGGAGAAGAAGAGTGCTTGATGAGGAGGACACTAGTAGCTCATGTTGATTATATCTATACACAGGAGCACAAGCCATGAATCAGAATGTTTAATTTCTTTATTGATATACATTTGGGAGAATTTATTTAGTAGTATTATTAAATCATTTCGTGATAATTTGATTTCGTTTGATCATTTTACCAAATCTTATGTATCAAATCATGCGACATATTGATAGTCCTCAAATAATTGGTGAGCATTAATGAAAACCTTAAAATTGATTTCATATAAGTTTTGATATATATAACTTTCAAAAACGAAAAAAAAAAAAAAACCCAGGACAAGAAGTTTGGTATATCAAGTACCATCCCAAAGACCCAATGTAAAGCTGAGTTCTTTTACCCATTTTTTTTTTTGAAAAAAATGGTGGTTAGGGGCAATTAGGCGTTGTAATTCCGAGATGTTATCTTGAGGTTTTCATCCGCTGTAGCATGTTTGATTTGAGCCATAACTACTAAAATGGGATAGTCGAACTCGTCATTACAACACCACCAAGTCCAAACTGTACATTCGGTCTCTCTAGCAGTATCTAGTTTACAAGGACTACTATAACAAACGGATTCGAATCCATGACCACTGAAAGAGAACAAGACTTTCACCTTTTACTAAGCCAACTAGGCTACCATCCCGGTGTTGAATTCTTTTACTTTGATAATGCACAGGCGTTACTCATTGTGTGATGTATAAGATCTTTTTAATTTCTTGGTGGGTTCAATTATGACACCGACAACTAATTTTTCATTATCATAGCTCCACAAATAAAAGTATAATGTGTGTAGTATTTTTGTTTTATTATTTTTAGCAAATAATTGTAAATCATTCACACCAAAATCAACAACTGCTCATGAATGTCAAGACAGGATTAAATCGATATGCAAACATTTTCCTTAATATATATCTCCCAACAACTTATACACCACTCTATAAGAGCTGATGGACAGTACAAATCTCAAACAAAATTCATTTCAATCATGGTGCAACTGGAAAGTGTGCATGAACAATGTTTGACATGGACATGAAGGTTTGAACCCAGTGTTATAATGGTAAACATACCATATCTCGTTAGCCTACTATTTTCTTTTTCTTTTCTTCACTGCTTACAAAGACTTGGAAGGCATGTCATAACAATCAACTGATTTCATCAGGGAGAAGCACACACGGCAGAGGGTGGAAATGGGGGAGGGGTGGAATGGGTGGCAGCGTGCAAGCTCATAAGTCACAATATGGCCAATTCAGCTACTAATACTTTGCTCGTATCTGGTACATGGAAGCTTCAATTAACTCTTAAGTGTAGTTGAAGTGTTATCTCTTTTACTTCCAACAAGAGAAACACTTAAATTGAGTCCACATCATAAATTTCACACACAAAAAACAGTAAGTAATAGAAAAGATGTTCAACAATGTTTCATCCTGGAGGTCACAGTAAATTCTGGGTTCATAGGTCACTCCATTGATTGCAAAAGTTGATATCCGGAAGAAAAATTCTAATTCATACATGCTGTATGGTAAATTAACGACAAAATGTCCAAGTTTCCCACTTGCCCTCTCACTTCTTCATATTGTTCCACTTCTAGGAACTTTCTTTTCTTTCAATAGCTCTCCCTTCGCTGCATAAAAGCAGGGACAACAGATAATCAAATACATCTTTGATAATTTGTCATAAGACTCATGATTTCACACCTGGACAGCAAAACCAAAATCACATTTGAGCTCCTGTGGAGCACCGTCGAATTCGACACACAAAAAAAAAAAAAAAAACAAGAGCCTTTTGATTCTCTAAAATATTGCTAAACATGATCGCATATAAAGGCTACCAACTAAGACTAACAACAAGCTAAAATCATCATCAGACATCAGTAAACAGGAATAAAGTCAAAGTCATCATTTCATTCTACAATATAGAGACAAAGTCATACAATTAAATCCTTCCCCCAAAAATCAATGACATTCTGGTATTGTTACATGAATGCTTTTATAAGGGGAAGAATTCAACCAATTTATGCAGGTAACATGGCACGGGTGCTGCCAAGGATGTGTAAAAGGAGGGCAAGACATATGGTTAGAATAATAGAAGATTTAGCACCAACATATCTGACAACTTCCAGTCCCCTGTCCACAATCTCTTCATGAACTACATTATAACTTCTTTTCAAGCCATACGACAGCTTCCACATGAAAAACTCTAGAACTGATCTCGTAGTTTCAAATGTCACCCTCCCAGTCACATCTAGCACGAACCTCCGATTGTTTGGGACGGCCAAGGTAGATGAAACACCACTCACCCATCCACTATTCTGTATCTCTATAGGTCTGCCTGGCTCTTTCAATTTTCTTGGAGGTGCTTCTTGCTTGAAAAGCTTGTTTCCGCTTGGGGCTTCACTCTGATCAACACTGGAACATGAGGAACTTGAACTGAACTCTGAATCAGATTTTGAACTCGTCAGCACTTGATGAGAGGTCTTCACAAGCGTTTCCACTGCCCCATTACAGAGAGAAACCAGAATGTCTCTCACTTTCATGTGGTGCTTAGGGTTAGTCAACCCAGTGAACATTTCATCATAGACATTGATACTCATTGTTTTGTCAAGATAAACAGCAACTGCTGTGCTCACAAATGTCTGAATGCAATCGGCCATAAGTACTTTGCATTTGTCATCGCAGACCACATCTACCCAGTCAGGCAAATTCGACAAATTTGATCCAACATAGGACACACCCGAACTGTTGTTTCCATTCAAACCTTCGTGTGATTGATCACTTGAATAAAAACCCAATACCAAGTTTCTCGCAAAACTACCAACCACCACCGAAATAAACCCAGTCCCTGCCCTGGACATCAGTTTATCCATAACCCGGCCAGGAAAACTTGAATTCCCCACTTCATCAGTTTCGTTTCTTGTCTCTAACCTATAACCTCTTAAACCCCAGCCACCATAGCCTCGGAAACCCCAATCAACGACTTGGATAACTCATCAGATCGAGCAATTTTCGATAATTGCTTCAAACTATTGGGCATTTTGTTTGAATCTGATTGCAAAAACTCCTTTAAATCCTTGGAGACAACACTAACTGTCTCCGCGGAATCAGAAACCATCTCGGCTACAGAAACTAGGGTTCCCAAGAGCTTTACAACCCTCTTCCTCTTCCTTACCACAGACGGCAAGTTATACACTTTATACGCACCAAAACTCGAAAAACCAAATACGGCAAGTAAAACTAGCCACTTCTTCTTTTTCTTGGAGAAATTCAACCCACTTTTTACCAATTCAAGATCCATATAGGCTCAAGTTAATCAAATCCTAGTGAAAATCCAAGCTTTAAGGGCTCTGATAATTGAATAGCAAACCGTTCTCCTAGAAATGAAGATTCACATAAGTACAGACACACGTAAGGAACCCTAGAGCTGAAATTACTCAAACCCTAGGGCTCGAGAACTGTTGAGATTTCAAAATTTAAATGGTTTCGAGTCTCGAAGATGTGGGTGTGGAAATAGAGATGTTTAGAGTCTGAGGGAATCGAGAAACTTAAATTGATAGCTACTGGACGAAGGCTAACTAATGCCCACAAATCAATATGAGAGAGAGAGAGAGAGAGACGAACCTGTAGAATTGGGTGATGAAGAGTGGTTACAGAGAGGTATGGTTACTGGTTGATTGGTCTGATTTCATAAAGGGTTTGAATCTGATTCGTTGAGAGCTTGAGATCCCCCAACCCCAAGGAAGAGGAGAGGATGGCTATCTGGTTTGTTTGTTTTCCCGAAACGCCTGTGGACCTCACTTCCGTTCCGTGCCGTTCTATTGGCGCCAACCATATGCATATCTGCCAACTCGGAGGTGGTGGAACAGGTTAAAACCAGATTTTGGGAGAATTGCATTGTGTACCCCAAGAAATCTATAAATTTCCACTTTGCACTTTTAATGATTAAATTTTATATTGTATTACCAATATATTAAAAATATTGTAACGTAGTCTTACTTTTAGTCGCATAATCATTCTAAATTCTTAACGCTCTCACGTTGCACACCCAAATTTACGCTCTGAGAGTGAATTCTCGCTTTCATTTTTACAAAATATCCAAATTTAAAATTTTAATTCGTGAGACAAATTCGAGCTTTTATTTATTTATATGTTTACTTATTGTTAATCAAATTTTTATTTGGGAAGTGCTGACATAGACCATATATCAAACCAGAATAATATTTGTCAACTACAATTGTCATTTTAGGACTTTATAATTAACATATATTTAAAAATTAAACATTTTATTTTATAGTTATGCATAAATTTTTAATTTTTTAATTTTATATATATTAAACTGTTATGGGTGAATGTGTGTCTGAATGCATATAATATGATATTCTCAAGAAGCTTCCACTTTCAATTTTTTTTAAATATTGATGTTTTTGTGCTCTCACCCTCGCTCTTGTTCTCACTTTATATGATCTAAGTCTTATCGTTAGTTTTCGTTGTTTATTCTGTAAAAAATAATCTATTGACATTCACGAAATAAGCAACAAAATCTAACAACAAAATCACATTATAAATTTTTTCATACATTGAGAGTGTAATATAAAATATAATATTTAAAGTACAAAATAAATTTTTTAAAATTTTTTGGGGCATAAAGTAAAATTTGACCTCAAGATTTTTTTACCCAAAAAATAATTATAGATTATAATATTTATTTTAAATTATTTATGATTATTAATTATTAAAATAAATAAAAAATTCACACATTTATAATATGCAAAATGAAAATTTATTTGTCGTAAGCTATGATCGACAACTACTATTTATTTGGGAAAATTATATCTAGACCTCTTAAACTTTACGACTTAATAACTCAGACCTCATAACATTTGAAATACTACAAACAAACTTCTTGAAGTTTGTACATGCGTAACACTTACACTCATACTATCAATATCCATTAGTATATTCGTTGATAAATTATACTTAGACCCCTTGAAATTTATAGACGTATAATATTTAAACCATTTAAATTTAAAATGTTATATTTAGACTAAAAATACTCAAATTAAAGATAAAATATCAAATACTTTAAATTTTACAACAAAAATTCATATTTTGTTGTATCATTTATTGAAATCAACAAAAATTCATATTTTATTGTATCATTTATTGAAATAAAATAAAATTAAAAATTCATATTTTCTATACAATTATATTATCTATTAGAATAAAACTAAAAAATCAATCAAAGAAAATTTAAAATTCATGTTCTATTATGTCATTTATTGAAATAAAATAAAAAATAAAAAATTTATTTTTTAAAATTAAATTTCAATAGATAATATAATTGTATAATAATTATAGTTTTAAAAGAAAAAAATTAGATTTTTATTTTTTATTTTATTTTAATAAATGTCATAGTTGAACATGAATTTTAATTATAAAATTTAAAATATTTGATATTTTATCTTTGATATTGAAGTATTTTTAGTTTAAATATGACATTTTAAATTTAAAGGGTTTAAGTATTACTATAAATTTCAAGGGATCTAAGTATAATTTATTAACGGATATACTAATAAACATTGACAGCAAGGATCTCAGTGTTACGTGCGTACAAACTTCAGGGAGTCTGTGAATAATATTTTAAATCCCAAAGGGTTTAAATAGTTAAATGACAAACTTCAAGGGACTGTATGTAATTCTCCCTAATTATTTTGGCAACCAATAAATTGAGGATAAGGTTCTCCGATTATAAGTAGGGTGGGTACCAACTTTAATGGAGTCAGAATCAAGAACTCTGACTCGTGTCGGAATGATTTTTTGCCTCCGCCTTCGATGTATAATGTCTTCGACTCCGCTTCTGCTCCAATTTTGATTGGGCAGAGTCATACTGGAATTTCAAATTTGGGCCAATATTTGGTATTTAAGGTCAAAAATAATCTCTCAAATTTGGGATTTAGGTTCCACACTTCCACTTTTGGCTAACTAAAGAGAAGAAAGAAAGACCGTGACTATCGAGAGAGAGAGTGTGCCTCACCATAATCCAAAAAGCTCCACTGACTCCTTTGCTCACGCACGATTTATCGTCGACGACAAAGCTCCACTGACTCCAGACGAGGGAGATGAGAGCGAGAGAGTGTTGAGAGTTAATTGAGAGTGAGAGACGTGGCCTTGGTGCCTGATAAAGGCGTTGTCCAAAAAACGATTAGGGTTTTGATAATTGATATAATTTATATTTATTTCTATACTATTAATAAAAGTACTTTACTATAAAATTTTTTTGATTAACTATCTTATCCTTATGAAAAACTATAAAGACTAATATGTTTTTTTATATTTAAATATGTAAATTACCATTATATCCCTTTGTATTTAATAACAAACTAATCTCTAATATATCATCCAAATCTCTTTATTTTTATAAAACTTTTGAATGATCGTGTTACGCTTAACATGATATATAAAAATATTATTTTTTTCCTCAAAACCCTAATAGTAATACACGTTGACAACTCCATTAATATAATATCATCTCTATTGTGTAAAAAACAGATATACTTATTTTATTGTTTCATTCAAAATCAAAATAACTTGATAAAAAATTACTGATATAAAAAATAAAAACAAGAAAGACAAAAAAAAAGAAAAAATTTATAAACCTTACTACTTGGTAGATCAAATAAAAGAATAACAGAAAATGAGTTCATTTGACATTTATAATTATGAAGAGAATACAAACAATTCAAGTATGCTAAATATGAAATAACATGTAATATAACTACATAATTAGATTTTTTTATATAATTTATCAAATGTTTCAATAAAAAATTTTACATGCAACACACGTTTTATACACCGACTCCAATCAAAATTTGACACTTCACTCTGACTCCAACTCCAACTCCAACTCCAACTCCAACTCCGACGGAGGCAGAGTCAGTGTCAGATTTTCAAATAATTGCATAGCCTTGCCTATAAGCTGCCCGCTATCTGAGTTTCAAAAAAGAAAAATAAAGTAAAGGGGGTAAACAATGTGGTACTCCTAATTGTCTTGTGAACGCATTAATAGGGTCATTTCATTATAAAAAGAAATTGTATTAACATGTTTGACCGGCTCTTGGTAGTCTATTATTAATAGCATCGATTGTGTACAGAACTTTCAACATTGTAAAATTTATAGAGTTAATTACTGGTCTTAACCTCACATACTGAGATACGGAAATGTTGATTACGTAACATACAATACCCTCTACGGATAACTTAATTACTGGTCTCAATCTCAATTCAAAACTTTTTATTGGAGAAATAATAATAAATTGAGAAACAAAATACAAAAATAATGAAAATTCACAAAAAAACAAGTTAGAGTGAAGTACGGTTATCTCATTCTATTTAAGAATATTCAAATCCTCTATAGATAAAATCTAAAATCGGTGTAGTAAGACTTTTTTGTTTGACTTATTCCCTCTAAGATACAACAACAACTTTGTCGCAAAACACTAACTAGCTTTGCATAAGTTTTAATCTTTTGGCTTTGAATGACAGTTAAAAAAGATTAAAATGCACATTTTAGATGTCTTATTTATAAGGCACTTAAGTCCTAGAATTCGTGTATCCAACTCATGCATATATACATACTGTATATATAATATAAAGGAGAATTATATTCAGATTTTTTAAATTTATCACTTAATGTTTTAGATCCCTAACATTTGAAATATTACATATAGGTCCCATAAAATTTGTACGCGCATAATATTTAAACTCTGTTTTCAATATCTGTTAGTATATCCATTAGTAAATTACATCCAGACCTTCTAAAATTCATAGGCATGTAATACTTAGATCCATCGAGTTTAAAATGTTATACTTAGACAAAAAATACTCTAATCAAAATCGAATATCAAATGTTTTAAATTTTATAACTAAAATTCATGTTTTATTATATTATTTATTAAAATAAAATAAAATAAAAAATTAATTTTTTTCTTAAAATATTATAATTAGTATACAATTATATTATTTATTAAAATTAAATTAAATTATTAAATAATAAGTCTAAGTCGTTTATAATAGAGCGAGAATTTTACGACCAAACTTTATGTTATGTTAAATAAAATTAAAAATAAAAATTTAATTTTTCTACAAAAATCATGATTAGTATACAATTATACTATATATTGGAATAAAACAAAAAAAAAAAAAAGGGGTTAAACTGTAATAGACACAATATCTTCTAATTTTAATTGGGTAATTTAGTAGTTTAATAAATGTCATAATAGAACATGAATTTTAGTTGTA